TTTCAATTTAATATCAGTATTTCATAACATTTGAATGAACAATCCAGTAAAAACTACAGTAAACCAACCTCATCTTCATAAGCCAAAGATTGCCACTCTGATCCATTATTGACATAAAGTTGTTGATGATCTTTGCGATACGAGAGAAGACCAGGAACATTTGGGATCTTCTCTAGACTATCTTCGTCAGCTACTGTCAATGTCTACAAGAAACGTCAAGAAGAGTTCCCGTTAATTATTGGAGTTAAAAATTTTGAATTCTCTGATGTATTCTTGTTGATTGGTAAAGCCAGGAGATGATCACGGTACGAACCCTCCGTCACAAACCTGTGTATTTTCTGAATCTCATATCATTATTCTCCGCTGGTTTTTTTCACTATCACTTTTGTTGTTTTATTCTTCAGTCCTACCTGTGCTCTTTGCTACTGCTTATCTTGTTTTTCAGACTTCAGTAGAATTTGTTGAAACACAATTATTGTATATACTTACACCTTCGTTAAGAAATCTCTTAAATTGTCCTGAACAGGAACCCTTAAAAAGAACCTAAGAATTACATTTCATTTTTCTCATAGTTTTACTGTTGTTGTCACCAAACCCTCACCTTGTGTGCTGTGCCAGTTCTCGGGTCAATAAAATATTTCTCAAATGTGTCAACGGAGTTCTTCATTTTGAACTCCATACATCTTTTCCAAAGTCTTTCTGGCATTCTGTTTCTCACCCAAAACCAAACAAAAACATTCTTCATTACTGTTCCTCCATTGATTGCAGTACATCCAGAACCACAGTAGTTTTGTCTTCCACCTTTAGGACCAAAACATCCGCAACACTTCAAGAAATTCATAGAAAGTTATATATACTAAGGTAAACTGCAAGGGGAAGTTGTTCAAAGCTAGTTTAACGCTAAACCCTGCATGGGTTAAATTTTTATCCAGTGTTTTAGTTTATGTGCCTCTGAACCACTGTTCGTTATAAAACTTTGAAAATATTACTTCTATCGGTCCAGAAAATATTTATGAAAAATATTCAACTTTGTAAACAAGCGATTAAAACAATTAATCTAAAGATTTACTTTAACCCGGCTTTTGAACTGGTCATAGAGGTTTTAAAACGTCATGCTAAGTTTGCTGATATGACTACTTTACATCTGAAGAAACAGGTTTTAGTCACATGTAGCATTAAGTCACATATAGCATTTCTTTAAAAGTTAGTCACATACCTTCCCATCATCGCAACCAAGAAATGCTGTGGAATTACGTTCCATACCAGTCGAAGCCGACACGGCGCTGTAACTATATAATGTACGGGGAAAATAATCTTTAAGAAGCTTAAACTACGATTCGACATTAAAAGTCAAGTCTGCCAATTATACCTTTATCTTTAATTGTATATTTTATATTCGCAATGGATAATCTCACCTGAATGAACCAAAATCGGTGTATTGAAATAATAATCCAGGAAATACGCCATAACCATTCTTGCAAGTTTTACTGAGACAATTTTTCATTCTTCCCTAGAAGATTTTAACACAAATAAACAGAGGATAAGCCTTTGGTTCATTTTAGATAGGTACACATAAATATATATTTTGACTGTCATATATATGATGTAATTTGAATTAGAAAATCACCCATCCTAAACTATTGTGAGTGTGAGGTCCAAATATGGAACATTTGAAATTATTCTTGGTGATGGAACCGCTTTGGATGTCCTTGACATATTTGATATCCCCAATTCCAGGAGTGCTTGAAGAACAACCAGTCGATATGTCGTTTGAAAAAATATCCCCGAGTTGACGCTTTTTGTTTAAGCGATAAAACCTATAGTAATAGCAATGTCGTCAATAAGAAATACCGCAGGGTTTTGTATATGACTTTAGCAATCAACTTAATTTAAGCATGGCCAGTGGTCATTTATGTACAATCGGTTTACCAATGTGCTTTGGTCCCTTCAAAAGTATTGTCAGAAGAAATCTGAACTCTGAAATCGAGTATTTGGATGTCACCAAGTTCGCTAGACCAATGAGGGGGTCCTTTAGGGTCAACAGGGGTAGAGTTGGATGGTATTGTCCACGTTACAGGACTGTCCGTCATTCCAACTAAGATAAACCCCCCACCGTCTGTATTTACATCACACCAAAGCTGCAATTGAGAATAAAGCTATAAGTCGTAAATATAAATTGATTGAGAGGACCAGGCAAGTAGTAAAAAGGACGAAGAACGGGCAAAGAGTTAGAGTGAGGCCTGGAACAGACTATAGACGAAGATAAATAGTGAAAAAGAGTGATAAAATAAACCTGACCAGGAGGAGGGCTTTATTGAAGGTCTTTTTTTAATGAAGAATATCAAATTACTGAAGAGGTGATGGAAGTGAAATTGATGGCCAGATGGCATGTTTAAAACTGGGGGTTAGTATAGTCAAATGGGGTGACAAATCGTACCACCTTCTCAAGAGAGACATAAAATGGGTTGATAAAATAAAGAGGTCTAATTGACTGAGAGAGGCGTGCTTCCAATGTTATCCTGTGACATTTGATACCTTATGCTTAGTTTTGTTGTCGAAGGAAATCCAATAAAATCCATCCTTAGCTCCAAGTAAATGATCAACAATTTCAGGACAATCTTTGGCTGGGTTGAACTCCTCGCCCAATGTTGAAGAACCTAAACATGTTTGCAGGTTAAGATTCTTGATTTTTTTGGTGCCTGTAATAAACTGTCATCCCTAGTAGTTCTGTAAAAGTAGTTTCTTTTTTAATCCCACTTAACCTTAAAAAACAGCTCCAATTTGTTTATCGCTGGCTATCTACAATCAGACTATCAATTTACTTTGGAGGGTAACTTGAACCAAACCTAGTTGTCTTGACTAGATATAAGATATCCGTAGTATGAAATAGTAATTGGTACCACAGAATACGAACAAACAATACTACTACAGACAAATTATTCACACATATATTATTATTATTGTGTAGAGTAGTTATTTACCGTCAGTGTATTGCCAGTCTAGGACACCGTCTTTTTCTCCTGCGCAAATCAACATCTTAATTTGCCCAGCAATGTTTTTATGACTGATTCGTTTGCCAGGGTAACATTTGCTAAAATTCTGAAATAAAAAAATTCTTGTGGATATTTATTTTCTTAACAAAACGAGGATTTACAATTATTTTTGGTATAATTTGGCTCTTCCAATCCAAACGATTTTAAGGTCAATCTATAGAACATTATAATCGACAAAAAATTTCTTTACCTGGTAACTTTCTGGCAAAGCTGAAGTCACCATAATCAAAGAAGCAGAAAGAATCAGTATTTTCCACAAAGCGTCTGAAACCATATCTCCCTCGTCGTATTCTTTCCGTAGATCTAATGATAAAACAAAGCTAGTCCTTCCTCTTTAGATGCCTCTGCTTTAGGCTAACATCGACCAACAAAATCGTCTTGAAGTAAAATGTTTTCAAACCTTTCAGCGTGGGCAGCTTCGAGTACACTTTTCATGCAATCACTTAATGCCGGATTTGTTGAAAAACAATTTTTTAAGAATATGTTATCTGGGGCCGGTTGTATCAAGCCCGTTTAGCTTAAACTGTGGATAAGTCAAAATTAAATAACACTCTTACAACTCTCTTGAAAGAGTCAACTTGAATATTATGCACTGAATAGTTGTAGACAGTATCTCTAAAGATATTAAGGTTAAAAACATTTAGTTCGCTTGTTGAATAAAACGATAGACTAGCTTTCTATTTTTATAACTTAACCACCGTTTAAGCTAAACGGGCTTGATACAACCTGCCCTGGTATCTAATCTATATTAATTGAGGCAGTCGTCTTGCCTACTGTTTAGAAATTTAGACTAAATAATGTAGTAACAATTATGTTTGCGTGGTTATACTTATAGTTTATTAAACTGATGTTTTGAAACAATTTGCGCAGGCATAAACATTAACAAGCACAATAGTAAACAATATCGTCGCTATGTTCGTAATGTTTTGCTCTGTCTGTTTTAGTCTATAACGATTAATAGAGTATGAAGTTTCGGGAACTACAATAACAGTATACTTGTATCTCGCGTCCCTCGATAATTGTGGTTCACAATAGAATTAAAGAGTTCGGGTTCACTCAAAAATTCCACGAATATCGAATGTCGTTATGTGGAAATCATGATAACAGTGGTCGTCTTGTAGTGCGTGTTTAGCGCTAATGTGTAAACAGTGGGCGATAAGTCAATAATAACGTTTTAAAAACAATATCATAGAGATGTCTGTAAGATATATTCACACCTAAGCTTTAATATTTAGTCTTTTTTGGGCTATTTGGGATCATACTGTGTATAACACGTCATCGACAATAATTATTGATGGCTGAGGCTGTGTAATCTCTGCGCGTAAATTTAAAAGGGATAAACACAACTCTAAGGAGCACTTGTACGAATATGATACTCTATTATATAAAGTAGTAAATCGCCTGCGAGTGACACTACTCTCAGAGATAACCGGTTTTGCCGTTGTTCGAGTTCAAATGTTTTGAAAGGCAACATCAGAGGACTGCAACATTACAACAGAACACATACGCCTGTATTCAAAAGCTCACTCACACTCACACTCATTCAGTGTGACATAAAAATTTTTTTATTACTGATGAATGAGAAAATTCTTTCTTAATTATTGGAAACATTGACATTCAAGGCAGAACATTGAAAATCAAGCTCTTGTTTGAGTGGAAATACCTCCACGGAAACGCTATGAGAAGATTAGCTTCGCTTTTAGAATACAGGCGATAGTTTACAGCTAACGAGATCAAATTCAGCAAACAGTGTCACTTACTATACCTGTGGTATCTATATTACATAACTGACCTGCTTTTGGTAGAAATTTCCGTAGATTACTGCCGTTGATATTGCTCCGCTATAGCTGTGTGACTGGCTTATGTAATTGATACATGCATCCCTTGTAAAATTAAAGACTCGTGATAAATTGTTATGACGTAATCGAACAACTAGAAAGTATTGTCCCTGTTAATCTCACAAGTAAAAAAACAAAGGATAATTGTGTTTAAAGGAACTTTTCTGTCTAATCTAATCATAAGAGTGATTTTTTTCTGAATTCGGAGACCGGCTTAGTCATCATCACCTACATCTACTCCAAACTCGCTGTTGTCGCTAAGCCTAAGGCAGAATTTTTCGCGTGGAGAGGAATTTTTTCGTTGTTTTTGTCACATTATCTCTGCATGAAACGCGCAGACAATGATTTAAACATCACAGTGATTAAGTTTTACAACAGTCGAACTTAGATGAATGAAGTCAATTGCGAAGGCACAGCAGTCACACGCGGCTTAGCGTTCCATCTCTTAACCCCAACAACGTAATTTTCCCAGTGTATGATAACCACGCTCATCTACACCGTCACGTATACCTGTATCGCCAAATCTCAGTTGAGTAACAGGAAGCGTGTTCTTGTCTGTCAGATATCCACTGTCTTCACGCCATGTTGCATCATTCTTGTCACAATTACATTTTTTTCCACCTGCACAGCTGTTGTTCATTCCACAGGCACATTTTCCACTGTCGACTGCCGCTCCACCCCAGTAATTCATCTTTGAACCTTGACGTGATACCCACCATGCATAATATGCCTTTGTGGAGCTGTACCAGATAAGGCTATGATAACATTCGTATTTTATAAACTGTTCACAATTCGCGGACTGTGTCGTAATGGCAATTACCTGCTCCATGGAAATTTCATATTTTACGGTTTTGATGTAAGAACCTGCAGGATCATATCCGTCCACAAATGTTCTTGATTCACTGTCATGTCCAATCACTGTCACACCAACACCATTCTTTGAAGTCATGTCACAAAATACTGAAACTAAAACGCCTTGAATGGGATTCACCAAATACGTTCCACTATCGGCTGTAGGCCTCGTTTGTCGTAATATTGAACAAGACTGAAAAGCTTGTAAACCTGTGGAACGTACGTAAGACACTTTTTTACTGGTGATTCATATCGAGTTAGATATTATTGCAAATTTTTGGAAATATTAAAGGATTAAATGTTTTTGTGCTATATTTAAGAAATGGAAAACATTTTCCGTGTTTCAGTACAGTTATAGAAACACGCGTGGGAGTTTGGGAGAACGAGAAATAATCAGTCGGAAAACGAGCCCACGTTATTTCGTTTTCCACGTTATTTCAAGTTCTCCCAAACTCCCATCGCTCATAGACAACGAAGGCAAGTAGTGGTATACACTTTGTACCTAGATATATTAATTTCGAGAAAATAATTGATACACCGCAATTACACCGACCGAAATAACTTAATCAATTCAATTTTATACGGTCGCGCGAGCGAATTTTTTCCAAACGTTCACCATCACGAATAGACAATGTTGAGTCGCCAATCAGAATGTAGGATTTGTAATAGACAATTGTCGGGTGTATACTAAAACTGTATAGAAACACAGTAAAAAAGTTATATTGTAAATATTTATACGCTCCAGGGGGTTTGTCGCGACTTAAAATCATCTGCACATAATGCTGACGACACGTCTGACAAATTTTCGCTGACAATGATTAAAAAAAATCATGACGGCCTATCGAAATAATCGCAATCATGTGACTGGGTTGGTGGTTGCACATCTCTGAAAATCGTGAGACAAAATCATGCACCCATGAAGCGCAAATTTCAAGTGAACTAAAAATGCTTGTGATATACGCACTTGGAGAGCAAAACTCGCGCAAGATTTATTTGAAATTTAGAGGAATTATCTCTTTTCTATGCAAATGGACCCGGTTTACTGGCCTGAAAGCTGTGAATTTATTAGAATTTATAATAATATAACCATAAAAACCCCCGACAGCCACCATTGTTGAACATTGTGGTTCAAATATTGATTGATTATTAAAGCATACTGTAATTGCTAATTGGCTATAACTAAAAAAATTGCTTTTTCGCGGTAGTTCCTACTTGTGTTGACATTAACTACGCTTAACAAGACGAAATATTTATATTTATTTGTAGAATAAGATAAAGGGCAAAGACTGGGGCTGGCGCACCATGTCCTCCGCCCCTTGTTCCTCCTCCCCCCCCCCCTTGCATGCACCCGTGACATACACGTGAGAGTTTTGATGTTACTGCAAAAATTAATGGATAAATAAATATTCCCTATAAGTTTTAGTAAAATTAGTAAAATTAGAATAATTTATGGTGTATGGCGTATGAAATTTAACCCGATATATATATAACTCTGTTTGTAATCTAGAATAAGAATTGCTATTAACACGCAATTATTTATATACGTGACAGTCTAAGAACCGTTGAACTTTAAATTACAAAGCTAACGCAATCATGCAGATTTATTTATTACTTGAAAATGATGCAAGACATAGCATCGAAACGTCGTAAAATAAAACTTATATCGGTTTTATTTATGTCCAAAAAAAAATTTAAACCGTAACTGAAAAGCAACCTTTGAAAAGAAATCATTGCAAACTGCATGAAAGAAATACTAAATTCCTTAAATAGATATATAAATTTCTAAGGTACCTTTTTCTAACTTTTTTATCAAGTTTCCCAGAGTTTCAATCGTTTTTTCAAGAGTTTGGATAATTCGTTCTTGATTTTGATTTTTCGTTTGAAGGATTCGGATGGTGCTCTCATGATTTTGGATTGCACTTTGTTGATTTTTGTTTGTTGTTTGAAGATTTTGAATTGCACTTTGTTGATTGTTGTTCCTGGTTTCTTGATTTCTAACTTCCTGCTGTAATTTTCGAATCTTGAAAGAAATAAAAATTTCCATTTCATGACACACTGCAGAAAATATTATTTTAATCCTAATAATTCTCAGATGAGAAATCCAGTAAAACAAACCTCATCTTCATAAGCCAAAGACTGCCACTCTGATCCATTATTGACGTAAAGTTGTTGATTATCTTCACGATACGAGAGAAGACCAGGAACATTTAGGATCTTCTCTAAACTATCTTCGTCAGCTACCGTCAATGTCTGCAAGAAAAGTCACCAGGAATACGCGTTCATTATTGAAGTTTAAATTTTGAATTCTCTTATTAATTTCCCAGCTTCACTTCTCTACACGTTCTCCCTGCCTCGTACCCTTGCATGAAGTATTCTTATTATTTGCTTATGCCAAAAGTGGTTCATACAAGCTACATTTATTGCAGTTCGTCTTTCTTCGCCGCTGGTTTTTTCACTGTCACTTTTTTTTGCTTTATTTTCAATCATACCTGTGCTGCCTGGTCTTAGTTGCGTATCTTGCTCTTAGAGTCTGTTGAAATAAAATTTTTGTGTATACTTACACCTTCGTTAAAAAATCTCTTAAATTGTGCTGAACAGGAACCCTTAAATAGAACGTAAGAATTACATTTCATTTTTCTCATCGTTTTACTGTTGTTGTCACCAAACCCTCACCTTGTGTGCTGTACCAGTTCTCGGATCAATAAAATATTTCTCAAATGTGTCAACGGAGTTCTTCATTTTGAACTCCATACATCTTTTCCAAAGTCTTTCTGGCATTCTGTTTCTCACCCAAAACCAAACAAAAACATTCTTCATTACCGTTCCACCATTAATTGCAGTACATCCAGGACCACAGTAGTTTTGTCTTCCACCTTTAGGACCAAAACATCCGCAACACTACAAAACGTACAGGAAAGTTTGTTATAATAACATATATAAATTGTTTTCAGTCTCCTGGCCTATATAGCTTTACTGGAGAGTTAGCCACATACTTTCCCATTATCGCATCCAAGAAAGGCTGTGGAATTACGTCGCATGCCAGTTGAAGTCGACACGGCGCTGTAACTGTAAACAAACTATGCTGTTACCACAATATAGCTATACACATTGAGTAATACTTAAATATTCTTGTGATTCGACGTTTTACTAAACTTTCACATTTGGAGTGCATCTCACCTGAATGAACCAAATTCGGTATATTCAAACAAAAACCCGGGAATCACACCATAACCATTCTGGCAAGTATTACGAAGACAATTGTTCATTCTTCCCTGTAAAATATGTAAGTACTGATGTATATTTATATGTACCGGGTGTCTCAAGAAGTAGCGATGCTTGATTTGTTTAGCCGTTAAAACTGTAACAATAACATTTAACAATCCAAAACTGCTATAAATGGAACAATAAATTCATGTAAGGTCAAGCATTGTGTGTACGATTATATGAGAATTTGATATTCACCCATCCTAAATTACTGTGAGTGTGAGGTCCAAATATGGAACATTTGAAATTAGTCGTAATGATAGAACCGCTTTGAACGTCCTTGACATATTTGATATCCCCAATTCCAGGATTATTCATGGAACAACCAGTTGATACGTCGTTTATGAGAATATTCCCAAGTTGACGCTTCTGGTTTAGGCGATAAAACCTACAATAAATAGAGATATCATAAGTAAACAAATACTGCAGGGTTTAAAATATGACTACCATGTTAATAAATTTGAGGCATAGGCAGTGGTCATTTATGTACAATTTACATTTTTACCAATGTGCCTTGGTCCCTTCAAAAGTATTGTCCGAAGAAATCTGAACTCTGAAATCGAGTATTTGTAGATCACCAAGTTCGCTAGACCAATGAGGGGGTCCTTTAGGATCAACTGGGGTAGAGTTGGTTGGTATTGTCCACGTTACAGGACTGTCCGTCATTCCAACTAAGGTAAACCCCCCACCGTCTGTATTTACATCACACCAAAGCTGCAACCGAGAATGTTATTATTCTATATCATAAATACAGTCGTTATGGTGGTGCTTGGTTTTTCCTTAGGTTGATACATTATGCAAATTAAGCTTACAACGAGTAGAAGGGATCTTGGCAGTGAAATAGTCAGGTGGAAAGGGGGGGCTTTATATCAGGGAAAGGTGTATACCGAAATACATAGCTTGTTAATAGACTGAGAGGCAAAATGAAAACGGGGGCTTTAAAAGAGAGAGGGGTTTTGATAGACGTAATTTAGCATGGGTTATGTTGTACCAAACCTTATGCTTAGTTTTGTTGTCGAAGGAAATCCAATAAAATCCATCCTTAGCTTCAGGCAAATAATCAACAATTTCAGGACAATCTTTGGCTGGGTTGAACTCCTCGCCCAATGTTGAAGAACCTATCAGCATGTTTTTAATGAATTTTTTGGAATTTTCAAGAACACGTAAAAAACTGTTTCCTCTAAGGTCTTGTACTATTTGTAGACTTAAAATTCTTGATTTTTTCGGTGCCTGTAATAAACTGTCATCCCCAGTAGTTCTGTAAAAGTAGTTTTTTTATTAATCCCGCTTAACCTTACAAAACAGCTCCAATTTGTTTATCGCTGGCTATCTACAATCGAACTACAAATTTACTTCGGAGGGTAACTTGAACCAAACATGGTTGTCTTGACTAGATATCCGTATTATGAAATAGTAATTAGTACCACGCCCACAGAATACGAACAAACAATACTACTACAGACAAATTATTCACATATATATTATTATTGTGTAGAGTAGTTATTTACCATCAGTATATTGCCAGTCTTGGACACCGTCTTTTTCTCCTGCGCAAATTAACATCTTAATTTGCCCAGCAATGTTTTTGTGACTGATTCGTTTCCCAGGGTAACATTTGCTAAAATTCTGAAATAACATTATTCTTGTGAATATTTGATTTCTTAACAAAACGAGAATTTACAATTATTTTTCGTAACTACGAACTCTCCGCATAGTTGGCCCTTCTCACCCTTCTCAATCCCTTCTCATCCATATATCTAGTATAATGACCCTTCTCATCCCAGAGATTTTAGGGGTAATCTATAGAACATTAACTTTACCTGGTAACTTTCTGGCAAAGCTGAAGTCATCATAACCAAACAAGAGAAAACAATCAGTATTTTCCACAGTACGTTTGAAACCATTTTTCCTTCATTGGATTCCTTTCCCGGATCTAACGATAAAGCAAACCTAGTTCTACTATTTTGAAGGCCAAGGCAACTGCAGTTTGTGGTAACAAATCTTCTATAAACTTTTCATAAAACAACCTAATGACTTTTCAGAGAAACGTATTATTTGGAAGAAATTGTGCGCGAATAACCGTTAACCAGATGGTCTGCCCCGAAGAAAATTGTCTGTATGTAACCGACTGTGTAGTAAACAATCTCGTCGAAATATTATACAGCGTCTGTGGTTGTTTATTATGAGATACTTAAGAAATTTAAGAAATTTCCGGGTGTCTGTACTATATATAGTGAACGTATCTCGCGTGTCTCGAAAATTATGGTTCACAAGGTGCATGCTATAGGAAGAGATTGGCCGTTTTGATCAACTAGGATTGAGAGTTTGTAAACCTATTTGTCTAAAATCACACAAGATAGTGTAGCAGTCTCCCTGTGAAAAGAATCTGCGTTATTTGTCTTGAAAGGTTCCGACTCCACATGCATATCGTATGTCGTTTTATGAAAAACATGGCAGTGCTCTGCATGTATAGGGCATGTTTATATCGCAATAGTGAAAACATTGTGAACAGACAATGATAATATTTTTGAAACAATATCGTAGAGATTTCTGGGGGATATTTACTACCATTCTTTAATATTTTAGTTCTTTTATTTCGATTAACATATGGGATCATACTTCGTATAACACATCCGTCAACAATTGATATGGCTTAGGTTGAATTTCTTTGTGCATATTTGATCAGAAACTCACTTCTGTAAGGAGCACTTGTTCACAAGTGATATTCTATTCTTTAATGTAGTTAATCGCCTCCCGACCGTGTACATGCACTACCATGATGCAGAGATAACCTGCTTTGCCGCTGTTTGATACAACAGTCTTGCCTACACAGGATTACGACATGTAATATAGTTCACTGAATACTTTAGGAGAAGAACACAACATTACAATAAAACGCGTAGTTTATTCAGCTTATACCTAATGAGATCTCAGATCGTAGTCACCCAGCAAATATACCTGTGATATCTATGTTACATAACTAACCTGTTTTCCGAAGTAAATTTCCGCAGATTGCTAATGTTGATATCGCCACTCTATAGCTCTGTGACTGGCTTGTGTAATTGATACACCTCTTATTACATGACCGCTAGAGAAGAAATGCTAAAGGCTTTTGATAAGACGTTATGACGTAAGTCGAAAGTCTCGAAATCAAAAGACTCGTCCCTGTCAGGCTCACAACTTAAAGAAATTGAAAAGTTCAGGGAAACGAACAGACTAAATGTGATCTCATTGAATTATATTTTATAACAAATTTAAGCTTGACGTTTGAGGGCAACGAAAAACGGCAGAGTCGATCTTACACGGTTCTAATTGGCTATTTCTTTCATTAATTGTAGTTTTCTTGTCATACCGTATTATGAATCAGGTCTTTGACGTTCACTTTTTAATCACGGATACGAAACCTGAGCTTCCGATGAAAATATGAAATATGTTCCACAATTATATATTATTATAATAATTCGTGCAAAATCGCATTTCTATCGTAAAATCTGCATGATCATTGATTTTCGTATTGTGTCATTTTTATACATGCTGGTTCAACTCCAAACTATATTCAACCAAGTTCCCGGAGAAAAGGAAGTTAAGGTTATTCCGCAGTTTTGCATTGCGCACTCTTTCTGCGCATATCTAAAACAAAAAAATAATAATCCTGTACGGATGTTTCAAGTAAAAAAATAATGTTTGATGTTTGTTAAAAATGTTTTTCTTCGTGCATTATAAGGGAATAAAAATCGTATTAGTTTCCCCTGTACGGATAAAGTGTTTTATGTCTACCTATGTATCGGCTCCAAACTGAAAATCACGTCAGTGGCTTTTGAATATCCTTTTCTCCTGTATATCACTTATATAGAAGGATATACTACGATACGATCATTGATAAATTCAATACAATTGTGCAACTGCAAATATATCTTGTAAATTGGAATAAAATAAAAATGGCGCCATATTGGAAAAACGTGATGAATTGTGCTTGTCAGATCTTCTAAACGAAGCCGGCGACCCCAACTCTCCTTTGTGTTTTTTATTTGTGGATGTCATAAACTAGAACTCTAGAAAGTTTCAGCGCATTCTCATTTAGGGAACAATTACTGCGGAATTACCTTAAACCTGGGGAAAATGGTCTCAAACAAAGAGTTCAGATTGAATTGAATGTCAGTTTTTGCTCGTGAAAAGTTCAGCGTCCGAACTTGGTCGAATATAGTTTGGATTTGAAAATCAATGATCATGCAGATCTTCGATTCAGTATCACATTCACTGTAGAGAACTCCGTCGGGCTTCCATCAATTTATGGGCAGATAACCCATGTCTTCATCTAGCTTCATTTAGATTACGCAGTCAAGGTTTCGTACTTCAAAAATAATAGAAAATTTGATAAATACGAGAGACAGAGTTTCTAAAAGTTTCTCAAACAAGATAAAATACGCATTGTTTAAAGTTGATTATAGCAACTGAATGACTTTAACAATCTGAAATTAATGGTCTTAAGATAAAAGTCTTAAGACAAACGTTTTTCAAATCATGGTTAATCACAAAGAACATATTCATCACATCAGGTTTGATGTTTCATCTTTTATCCCCAGCAACGTAATTTTCCCAGTGTATGATAACCTGACTCTCTTATTCCGTTATGGTTTGAAACACCGTCAGCATCTCCAAATCTCAGTTCAGTAACAGGCAGCGTGTTCTTGTCTGTCAGATATCCACTGTCTTCACGCCATGCCCAATCGTTCTTGTCACAATTACATTTTCTTCCACCTGCACAGCTGTTTGTCATTCCACAGGCACATTTTCCACTGTCGACTGCCGCTCCACCCCAGTAATTCATCTTTGAACCTTGACGTGATACCCACCAACCGAAAGGATTAGTGAAGTATATTAATACACTATTATAACATTCATATTTTATAAACTGTTCACAGTTCATGGATTGTTTCATAATGGCAACGATCTGCTCCATGGAAATTTCATATTTAATCTTCCTCTTGTACGACCCCGCAGGATCATATCCACTCACAAGTGTTCTTGATTCACTGTCATGTCCAATCTCTGTCACACCAACACCATTCTTTGAAGTCATGTCACAAAATACTGAAACCACGACTCCTTGAATGGGATTTATCAAATACTTTCCACTATCGGCTGTAGGGCTCGTTTGTCGTAATATTGAACAAGAAGGATAAATTTGTAAACCTGTGGCACGAAAAATACCATGTTACTGAAATTCCATGTTGATTTGAAGCGATTTAAATGTTTGTGTCGTAGTAGTTTAATGTAGTAGTTTATTAATATTCAGTGCATGTTCTTTAGGTTTAGTAATTCGTTTAGTATTTAGGTTTATATAACCTATAAAATAGGTTTGTGTGCCAGGACAAGGGTACAAAAAATGCATTAGTCTTAATTCAGCGGCTCAGGTGGCTTGTGCATTATATCTTGAAATAATCAACGAATGTAAGACGTAAGACAAAATTTGGTGACAGTACCACAATGACAACTGACAGATAACATCTAGTCATGCTTAATAATAATTTCTCACTATGATACGAAAAACTGATTCCATTTACCCTCTTTGACGCAATCTCCACACTGGTAAAAGTTGTTAATTTTTTTTAAAAAGCCGTCTTTAACGAGAAAGCTAAGCATTTCGTTGATTAATTAAATGGCAACAAGAATTGCATGCGGCGTGTCTAAATTTGATACATAAATACCTTCCTAAATTACCTTTTTCTAGCTTTTTTATCCGAGTTTGGAGTTGTGTTTCTAGACTTTTAACTTCCTGCTGTAATTGTCGAACCTGGAAAAATAAAATGAATACTGAGCATTTCCATATTTATAAAAAATTTGCATAATATTTAACAAAATACAATAAACGAACTTGATTACCTCTCCTTCATTATCTAATGGTTGCCACTTTGATCCATTATTAACATAAAGTTGTTGATTATCTTTACGATATGAGAGAAGACCAGGAACATTTGGGATCTTTTTAAACCCTTTTTTGTCAGCTACAGTCAATGTCTACATGAAATGTTATGAGGACTCGTGTTGATTATTTAAGTTGTGGGTTTACTCCTGACTGTACTCATCTTTAAATGTTCTTCCCACCATTCCTCTCAATTTACATGAAGTATGGTTGTGAACGTTATGAGCCCTCAATCTGCTGTTTCTTCATTTTGCTCCTTAAAGTTACCATATATATATATATACTTACACCCTCGTTAAGAAATGTCTTGAATTGCTCTGAACAGGAACCCTTAACAAATTAACCCAAGAGTTTAATTTATTTTTTTCATTGTTAAGGTGTTTCTTCAAAACCCTCACCTTATGTGCAGTACCAGTTCTTGGATCAATAAAATATTTCTCAGATACGCCTGTTGAATTCTTCATGGTAAACTCCATGCACCTTTTCCAAAGTCTTTCTGGCATTCTGTTTCTCACCCAAAACCAAACAAAAACATTCTTCATTACCGTTCCTCCATTAATTGCAGTACATCCTGGACCACAGTAGTTTTGTCTTCCACCTTTAGGACCAAAACATCCGCAACACTTGAAAAAACACGTGAAAGGTAATTTAGACCAAGATTTATAGTTATAACACATTGTTAATTTTTTTCTTTTAATTTGTTGTTTTTGATCATATGACACTGACAAAAATTTGACACGTGTGCACAGGCTTCCAGTCATCTGACTATTATAGCGTTACTGGAGTGCTTTCGTCTTTTAGTATTTCAAATGGTCTCTTTACTCACTTTTCCGCCATCGCATCCAAGGAAGGCTGTAGAATTACGTCCCATACCAGTCGAAGCCGACACGGCGCTGTAACTATATAATTACTTTTCTGTAAACTATATACCTCTGCTGTAAACTATATATCTGGGAACTATTACCGAATCGAGGGCCAGTATAGACAAGCCTTGTCACAAATACAAGGTTCTTATTGCAGTTCCACGTTATATATGACATTATGATATACTTTTAGTAATTTGGTATTTTATCTTGGCCTTACATTACTTTACCTTACCTAAAAGACCCATATTGAGTATATTGAAATGAAAAAGGACCAGGAATTACACCATATCCTTTCTTGCAAGTATTACGAAGACAATAGTTCATTCTTGCCTAAACGATATTAATACAGACATTAGTTTCTCTTCTTACTTTCATTTAGTAAAACCGGAGGAAAATTTCTTCGCAATATATTTCTCCGTATCGGTTTCATGTAAAATTTTCTATACAGTAGAATGATATTTACCCATCCCAAACTATTGTGAGTGTGAGGTCCAAATATGGAACATTTAAAATTATTCGTAATGATTGAACCGCTTTGGACATCCTTGACATATTTGATATCCCCAATTCCAGGAGTGCTTGTAGAACAACCAGTTGATATGTCGTTTGAAAAAATATCCCCAAGTTGACGCTTTTGGTTCAAACGATAAAACCAATGTGCTTTGGTTTCTTTAAATGTATCATCAGAAGAAATTTGAACTCCAAAATCTAGTATTTGAATATCTCCAAGTTTACTTGACCAATGTGGTGGTCCTTTAGGATCAACAAGAGTAGAGTTGGATGGTACTGTCCAAGATACAGGACTGTCCTTCATTCCAACCAACATAAACCCCCCTTCATCTGTATGTACATCACACCAAACCTTTAAGGTTAAAAACAAAGAAAATTATTATCTACTTTATGTAACTTTGTGTCTTGATGACTGGCACAAATGCAGTTGTGTCACTTGACTCAAGAAGTGCCTTCGTCAACATTTTTTTTTTAAATTTGGCAGAAAGCAACAAAATATATAAAATGGCTGGACTAGACAAGCAATGGGCGAGAGATTGCCTCGCAGAGTATAATAACTGACTAAATAACTAAGGAAAACTTTGAAACTGAGAAGGCTTTAAAAGATAGTTGAAGTAAGAAAAAGGTTAGGTAACGAAGTGGAGCGGGTACATGCAGTGAAGATGAAGTGCATCAGAGAAGATGGTTAGTGCTAATAAATAATGTTTGTCGTATTTACCTTGTGTTTAGTTTCGTTGTCAAATGATATCCAGTAAAATCCATCTTTTGCTCCAGGCAAATGATCAACAATATCAGGACAATCTTTTGCTGGGTTGAATATTTCACCCAATGTTGAAGAACCTCAAAACATAAAAGTAGCTTAAAGAGATTTACTCCGAGAAGCGAGTGTCGGCGTAAAAGAATCTTCCTAATGATTGTGCTCTAAACCAATTCCCCCCACCTTTTTCAAATTTATCAATTCATATTACTATGAAGAATAAAACCTAAGTTCAACTGATTTGTTTTAAACTAGATAAATAAGTCAAAATCAGTCATAGGTTTGTCTTGTTAGTAATCAACCCATATTCCATCTTCATTTTCCCATCTTCGAAGCAAGTTATTCATGAATGAATTATTTTGAACTTTCGTATTTTAAAATCTTTATTAAGGATATCTCTTCTTTTTGGTTCATTGATCATAGATGTAGAGAATTTAAAACAGAAACCATATAATACATTTTTTACAAATATTTACGTCAAAATATTAATTCCTTACCATCAGTGTATTGCCATTCGGGGACGCCGCCGCCGTCTTTAATCCGGCGCAAATCAATATCTTTACTTGACCTGCTTGGTTTTTGTGACTGATTTGTTTACCTGGATTGCAATTCTTAAAATTCTGGAATAAAAGAAGTAAAAGTGCATGGCTTTCCGATAAATGAGTCAATATGTTAGGTGCTGAACAATCTCTTGTGCAAATTCAAACTTTGCAAGTGGCTAAAATATAAAACAATTTTAAGGATTCCTCTCACCTCGCTTCCCTGCGAGAAACCAGTAGTTGTAACTCTTAAACAAACTGAAAAAATGAGGATTTTCCACAAGATTTCGGAAAGCATGATTCTTGTTCAGCATAAGTTCAGCCTTCCTTTCGCTGTGTCTTGACACGTAATAATAAAACGACCTGGGTTCTTTTAATTTAATTAAAATCAATAACAAAGGACTCAAGCAGACGAGCTTTTTCCTTCAGCAAAGAATTCACTAGTAATCGAGCTATAAATATTTCGTTTGAAAAATATGTCTGCGTTTGTTTAAAATTTGTTAGTTAAATCCGCCATCTTTCTCACATTCACCGCTTCTTGGCACGCTATCGATGGTGACTAGCGAGGCAGGCTAGTTTCTCTGGTTTGGCTGTTATTAGATATGTTGGGGGAAAATCAATCAAATTAAAATCAAAGTTAGACAAGCTCTATATACTTTGAGGAAATAATTCACATATTTGTACCCATGTCTGGCTATCTAGATCAAACACACCGGTTAATTTGTATTTTATTAGGATCAATTCACGAATATATTGCTATAAAGATTCACCACAGGAACAGCCATATCAACAAAGCACAAAAGAAGATTTCTTTTTGAAAGTAAATTAAGCCGACTATGAAAGGAATTCTTTTTCAAATTTGGCAAAAGGCAATTAAGGGCAGACAGACGTGTTCCTTCAGACATGTTTTTTACCTTAATACAAAGACACTGTTTACAACTATATATTCAATGCATAATATACAAGTTGACTCATTCAAGATAGATGTAAGAGTGTTATTTAAATTTGACTTATCCACCGTTTAAGCTAATCGTATGATCACCGGCCCCTAGTCTCAAATTATATATACTATAGAAGCCTTCGTCTTTTATACACAATTTACCGATCTCATAGTCATACTGACTTCATACTGTATATATGGAAATGTTTTTTTGTCAAAGGATTATCTCAGCAGTACAAATTCTCAATTAGGTATACATGTTTTTTACTAATTTACTGTTCGATATATCTGGTAACCAGGTGATCTGAAAACGTGGGAAATGACTGGAACTAGTTGTCAAATAGAAATTAATCCATTTCTGTATTAAAACATACAACTATCTCTTGAAATACTTTATCTCGGTTTGAAATTTATGTCAGAGCTATAGCTTCTGTAAGTGAACACAATCACAAAATTTTGACAAGCTTCATAAAGAATTACGAAAGATATAAACGGTTAAATACTGAGAAATGGATTTCTATTTGGACAATCCTTTTGAGCGCTGATTGTCGGTTAAAATAAAAGCGTGCATGAGATCACCTGGAAAGTTAGGTTTTAATTCCAACAACGCAGCCTTCCTAATGTATGATATCCTTTTTCTTGACTTGCTTCAGTATCTCCAAATCTCAGCTCAGTAACAGGAAGCGTGTTCTTGTCTGTCAGGTATCCACTGTCTTCACGCCATGTTGCATCATTCACGTCACAATTACATTTCCATCCACCAGCGCAGCTGTTGGTCATTCCACAGGCACATTTTCCACTGTCGACTGCCGCTCCACCCCAGTAATTCATCTTTGAACCTTGACGTGATACCCACCAACCATAATATGTACCTGTGGAGCTATACCTAAAAACGCTATGATGACATTCATATCTTATAAACTGCTCGCAATTCTTGGACTGGTTGATAATGGCAACAATCTGCTCGATGGAAATTTCATATTTAATCTTTCTCTTGTAAGAACCTGGAGGATCATATCCACTCACGAGTGTTCTTGATTCACTGTCATGTCCAATCTCTGTCACACCAACACCACTCTTTGACGTCATGTCACAAAATACTCGAACAGAGAAGTTGAGTCCTTGTGGTTTTATAGAATACATTCCACTTTCAGCTGAAGGATATTTTGTGCGTAAAATCGTGCAGGATTTGTTGACTGGAATGGAAATACCTGTGAATTAAGACAATGCTGTCTTAGTTACTAGGTTTTTATTGCAGCTATTTTAAAGGTTATGTATATCGATCATTGAATTAATAATTATTTTTTGAAACTCTCTGAACCAAGTGATGACTTTCATATAAACTATTCTTATCACATCTAATGGTTCTGAGGGTCTTAATTTCGAGTGGAATTATACACACTTCAAATGAAGCCAGGAACAGTTGATGGAAAAATGAGTCAACTATCGGTCCTCCGGCAGGAATCGAACCTACGCTTTTGCGATGCCGGTGCAATGCTCTTGCCACTGAAATTTGCCTACATCGAAATGAAGTGCCAAAAATCATAACATTTTATCACATCGTATAATATTATAACATCACGTAGCTACATTTTTGTGCATAAAAGTATTTCACTTTTTTATGTTCTTGTTCAGTTTGATTTTTAGTTTTATAGATTTTTAGTGTTTGTTGGGCTGTATGTTTTTTTGGAATTGCGCTATCCGTATAGTCTTATAGAATCAACTGCCGGGCAGCTTTTGAGAAAATTTTCATACGGGCTGAAAAACACAAATTTCAATGCCACCCTTGAAGCAAGAAAAACAAAAAAACCTGGAAAGTTTTGTTAAAAAATATACCATATATTTATAAACCACAAATGATACTCATCAACTAATTTTATATTTCAAAAGTAAAGCTGGGATCCGTTAGAAAACAAAAATTATTTTTACGTGTTCTCATGCAGGTGGGACTGTTGTTATCTATATATCTATATAGTGCACAGCTTAATATTTCATACCCGTTGGGAGACTTTGTGAAAAAAGCTGGTAGTTTGGAACTGGTTTCGGGGATATCTATAAAAAAGAAGACTGTGTCGTAAATATACTCATGCTAATAGTTTTTTTTTTCTGCACTTTTGCCTAAATGCCTTTCTTAGGACCTGTCTCAGTTTCCTTAAGGAATTTCCGTAGAGTCGTGTGGATCGAGGGCTTTTTCGCCATGCAGTTCCTCTTCTTTGGTTTTATGCCGGCATGCATGTATAAGTTTTCTCCGAATGTTTCACATTATTTTTTTTCTCAGTTGAGTCCACTTGACGTGTTAGCTAACTACTGCGGAACTAGCTTATTAATTTATTCACGGGTTTTATGCGATGAAGGCGTTTTTATTATGACAGTGAGTAGATTGGCACGACCACCTGCAGCTTTAAGTGAGCCATCTGCAGATTAAGTGAGCTTCGTTAAGTTAGTTAGTTTAATAGCGCTACTTCTGTAGGAGGTAAATTTTATTCCAGTGTTTTAGTTTATGTGCTTTTGAACCATTGTTCGTTTCAAAAACAGAAAACAATACTTCTTTGAATTTTTACCTCTTCGATTATATAAAGATGTTTGAAATCGGGATTTCTCGTACTTTCCTCATCGTCAGATGTGTCGTCAAGAGTCTTGTTGTTGAGCTCACATCGACCTTTACCGATTCCAGATGTTTTGAAATTAACCGACACACATGATCCATGAGCAACGCAATGACTACTGCATTCTAACTCGGTTTCAGCGTGTTTTGTTTCGATGACATGATTTGCTAAATATTCACCATCATTTACTTTGAAGAAATCTTCCTTAATCCCAGCTAAGCATTCGCTTGGCTCTATTATATTTGAAAGGATAAATAACGCCCAAATACTCACCACGACTGTCATTGTGAGACTGGTTATGTTTATAGATTAACTTGGAACTGAAGTTATATTTCACGGCCGGTGCATATAAGCTCCCCCGTCAATGTCGTGGCAAATTCTACTATTTTCATTGGATAAGCTGAGCCCTAATCTTCGCAATGATTGGTCAAATCATGAGCTAAGTAAACAAATGCAGACCTACATTCAACGTAATCATTTAGAGAGGGGGGGAAGGGAAATTTCAAGAAAGCATATCTAAATTAAAGTGTCTTAAAAATAATTTGCCATAAAGTTTTAAAAATTAAAAATGCAGAGTCGTGGAAATGTTTTATACTTTGAATGAAAATAAAAGCAGATAAAAAACGGCAAAACTATCCATAGACCCTGCACAGTAACCGGAAGCGTGTTCTTCTCTGTCAGGTATCCACTGTCTTCACGCCATGTTTTATCATTCATTTCACAATTACAGTTTCCTGACTTTCCTCCACCTGCACAGCTGCTGTTTATTCCACATGAACAGTTTCCGCTGTCGACTTCCGCTCCACCCCAGTAATTGATATTTGAACCTTGACGTGATACCCACCAACCTTGATATTCCAGAACTGAATCTAAAAACGCTATGATGACATCTATATTTTATAAACTGCTCACAATACTTGGATTGTGTCGTAATGGCAACAATCTGCTCCATGGAAATGTCTTTTTTAATGTTTCCGGTCTTGTAAGTACCTGCAGGATTATATCCATCTGTGTATATATACATACTTATCAGCTACTTGTAGTATGCAATCTTATTGGCTAAGCTACTAAGGGTATATCATGTTATTTACAATGAGAGTAAAAACAGCCGGTACGTAATACAGTGAGAATTTTATATAAGTTTGCACATTTTATCATTATAATGTTCTGGCTATATTATAAAAAAATCATACCATTCGCTCACGTCATATATGGCTGATAACCAAAGCTGTAAGAGTGTTATTTAGATTTGACTTATCCACTGTTTAAGCTAAACGGGCATGATACAACCGGCCCCTGATCTTTAATTATGCTATAGAAACCTTCGTCTTTTATATACAACTTACCGACCTCATATTCAGCGGACATTTCCTCACACAGTGTGCCTATTTTTTCAATGTTGAACTCGAACTTTATGCTGTATATATGGAAATATATTTTTAATCAAAGGATTATCTCAGCAGTACGAATTCTCAATTAGGTATACATGATTTTTACTAATTTACTGTTCGATATATCTGGTAACCAGGTGATCTAAAAACGCGGGAAAGGACTTGAACTAGTTGTCAAATAGAAATTAATCCATTTCTTTATTAAAACATACAACTATCTCTTGAAATACTTTATTTGGATTTGAAATTTATGTCAGAGCTATAGCTCTCGCAAGTGAACATGCACAATCACAAAATTTTGACAAGCTTCATAAAGAATTACGAAAGATATAAACGGTTAAATACTGAGAAATGGATTTCTATTTAGACCAGGGCGCTTATATATAAGCGCCCTGATTTAGACAGTCCTTTTGAGCGCTGTCATTAAACCCTCACCTTGTGTGCGGTACCAGTTCTCGGATCAATAAAATATTTCTCAAATGTGTCAACGGAGTTCTTCATTTTGAACTCCATACATCTTTTCCAGAGTCTTTCAGGCATTCTGTTTCTCACCCAAAACCAAACAAAAGCATTCTTTATTACTGTTCCTCCATTGATTTCAGTACATCCAGGACCACAGCAGTGTTGTCTTCCACCTTTAGGACCAAAACATCCGCAACACTTCAAAACATTCATAGGCAGTTATATACTAAGGTAAACTGCAGGGCCAGTTGTTCAAAGCTAGTTTAACGCTAAACCCTGGGTTGAATTTTAATCCAGTGTTTTATAGTTAATGTGCCTCTGAAGCACTGTTCGTTATAAAACTTTAGAAAATATTAATTTTATAGGTCCAGAAAATATTTATGAAAAATATTCAACTTTGTAAACAAGCGATTAAAAAAATTAGTCTAAAGATTTGCTTTAACCCTGGGTTAATGCTAAAGTTAAGCTTAAACAGATATGACTACTTCACATCTGAGGAAATCAGGTTTTAAGTCACCTGACCTATATAGCATTTTTTTAAAAGTTAGGCACATACTTTCCCATCATCGCAACCAAGAAAGGCTGTGGAATTACGTTCCATACCAGTCGAAGCCGACACGGCGCTGTAACTATATAATGTACTGGGTAAAAGTCATCTTCATTGAAAACAGTCACAAATACACCACAATAACAACTGCCACGAAAATACGCGTAAGTAGGCTTAAAGTACGATTCGACATTAAGATGTCAAGTTTGCCAATTATACCTTTATCTTTAATTATATATTTTATATTCGCAATGCATAATATTACCTGAATGAACCAAAATCGGTGTATTGAAATAATAACCAAAGGATAATTGTGTTTTAAAGGAACTTTTCTGTCTAATCTGATCGTTAAAATATTTTTTTTTGAATTCGGAGACCTACTTATAGTCATCACCTACGTCCACTCCAAACTCGCTGGTGTCGTTAAGCCTGTTTTCCACCAGGCAGAATTTTTAGCGTGGAGAGGAATTTTTCTTTGTTTTTTTTACATTAGCTATGCATGAAAACGCGCAGACAATGATTTTCCCAAAATTTCGCCAAGTGGAAAACAGCCCTTATTTTCTAATTGGAAAACAAGCCGTGAGTCTCACGGCGTGAGATTGGTAAACAGTTCATTCTTACTCTTTTCAACTATGATGCCGCAATGGAATAAAGAAAACAAAATTTATTCTTGAGAACGATTAGGTCAATTTAAACATTACAGTGATTAAATTTTACAACAGAATTTAGATGAATGAAGTCAATTGAGAAGGCAAAGCAGTCACACGGGGCTTAGTGTTCCATCTCTTAACCCCAACAACGTAATTTTCCCAGTGTATGATAACCATACTCATCTGTACCCTGATATACACCAGTATCTCCAAATCTCAGTTCGGTAACAGGCAGTGTGTTCTTGTCTGTCAGGTATCCACTGTCTTCACTCCATGTTGCGTCATTGATGTCACAATTACATTTGTATCCACCTGCACAGCTGTTGTTCATTCCACAGGCATATTTTCCACTGTCGACTGCCGCTCCACCCCAGTAATTCATCTTTGAACCTTGACGTGATACCCACCAAGCAAAATATTCACCTGTTGAGCTAAACCTAAAAACGCTATGATAACATTCGTATTTTATAAACTGCTCACAATTCTTTGACTGCTTCATAATGGCAACAATCTGCTCCATGGAAATTTCATATTTAATCTTTCTCTTTTAACAACCTCCAGGTTCACATCCACTCACAAGAGTTTTTGATTCACTGTCATGTCCAATCTCTGTCACACCAGAACCATTCTTTGAAGTCATATCACAAAATAATGAAACTAAAAGTCCTTGAATGGGATTCACCAAATACGTTCCACTATCGGCTGTAGGCCTCGTTTGTCGTAATATTGAACAAGACTGATAAACTTGTAAACCTGTGGAACGTATAAGACACTTTATTACTGGAGATTCATATCGAGTTAAATATTATTGTTAATTTTTGGAAATATTAAAGGATTAAATGTTTTTTGGCGACTATATATTTATACGCCCCGGCGGGGTTGTCACGCCTTAATCACGACTTAAAATCAATAATGCTGACGACAGGTCTGACAAATTTCGCTGACAACGATTAGACAATATCATGACGGCCTGTTGGAATAATCGCAATCATATGACTGGGTTGGTGGTTGCACATCTCTGAAAATCGTTAGAGAAAATCATGCACCCATGAAGCGCAAATATCGAGTGAACTAAAAATGCTTGTGATATACGCACTTGGAGAGCAAAACTCGCGCAAGATTTATTTGTAATTTAGAGGAATTATTTATTTTTATGCAGACGGACCCCGTTCACTGGCCTGAAAGCTGTGAATTTGTTAGAATTTATAATTATATAACCATAAAACCCCCCCGACAGCCACCGTTGTTGAACATTGTGGTTCAAATATAGATTGAATATTAAAGCATACTGTAATTGCTAACTGGCTATAACTAAAAAATACTTTTTCGCGGTAGTTCCTACTTGTGTTGACATTAACTACGATTAACAAGACGAAATATTTATATTTATTTGAAGAATAAGATAAAGGGCAAAGACTGGGGCTGGCGCACCATGGCCTCTGCCCCCTTGTTAGAATCTAGAATAAGTTTGTAATTCTAGTGCATGCAAGCTAGTAGAAATTTAAATTGCACGCAATTATTTATATACGTGACAGTCTAAGAACCATTGAACTCTAAATTACAAAGCTAACGCAATCATGCAGATTTATTTATTACTTGAAAATGATGCAAGACATAGCATCGAAACGTCGAAAAATAAAATTTATATCGCTTTTATTTATGTCCAAAAGAGATTTAAACCGTTACTGAAAAGCATCCTTTGAAAATAAATCATTGCAAACTGCATGAAAGAAATACTAAATTCCTTAAATAGATATATAAATTTCTAAGGTACCTTTTTCTAACTTTTTTATCAAGTTTCCTTGAGTTTCAATTGTTTTTTCAAGAGTTCGAATGATTCGTTCTTGATTTTGATTTTTCGTTTGAAGAATTCGGATGGTGCTTCCATGATTTTGGATTGCACTTTGTTGATTGTTGTTTGTTGTTTGAAGATTTTGGATTGCACTTTGTTGATTGTTGTTTGTTGTTTGAAGATTTTGGATTGCACTTTGTTGATTGTTGTTTGTTGTTTGAAGATTTTGGATTGCACTTTGTTGATTGTTGTTTGTTGTTTGAAGATTTTGGATTGCACTTTGTAGATTGTTGTTTGTTGTTTGAAAATTTTGGATTGCACTTTCTTGATTGTTATTCCTGGTTTCTTGATTTCTAACTTCTTGCTGTAATTGTCTAATCTTGAAAGAAATAAACATTTCCATTTCATGACACACTGCAGACAATATTATTTTAATCCTAATAATTCTCTGATGAGAAATCCAGTTAAACAAACCTCATCTTCAGAAGCCAAAGATTGCCACTCCGATCCATTATTGACATAAAGTTGTTGATTATCTTCACGATATGAGAGAAGACCAGGAACACTTGGGATCTTCTCTAAACTATCTTCGTCAGCTACTGTTAATGTCTGCAAGAAAAGTCATCAATTTTGAATTCTCTTTTGGCTTCCTAGCTTCACTTGCCTACACGTTTCCCTGCCTCATACCCAACCCCTTACATGAAGTATACTTGTTAAATGGTAATGTCAGGATTATTTCATGGTATGAACCCTCTGTCACAAGCTGTGTATTTATTTCAGTTTTTCCTTGTTCTCCGTTGGTTTCTTCACTGTCACTGTTTTATTTGTTTGTTTTATTCCTCAATCCTACCTGTGCTGTCTTGTCTGCTTCTCCTTATCTTGTTCTTGGAGTTAAAGTTTGTTAAAACATGATCATTTTATATACTTACACCTTCGTTAAGAAATCTCTTAAATTGTCCTGAACAGGAACCCTTAAAAAGAACCAAAGAATTACATTTCATTTTTCTCATCGTTTTACTGTTGTTGTCACCAAACTCCCACCTTGTGTGCTGTACCAGTTCTCGGGTCAATAAAATATTTCTCAAATGTGTCAACGGAGTTCTTCATTTTAAACTCCATACATCTTTTCCAGAGTCTTTCTGGCATTCTGTTTCTCACCCAAAACCAAACAAAAACATTTTTTATCACTGTTCCTCCATTAATTGCAGTACATCCTGAACCACAGTAGTGTTGTCTTCCACCTTTAGGACCAAAACATCCGCAACACTTGAAAAAATTCATAGAAAGTTATATACTAAGGTAAACTGCAGGGGGCAGTTGTTCGAAGCTAGTTTAACGCTAAACCCTGGGTTAAATTTAAATCCAGTGTTTTATAGTTAATGTGCCTCTGAAGCACTGTTCGTTATAAAACTTTAGAAAATTTTAATTTTATAGGTCCAGAAAATATTTATGAAAAATATTCAACTTTGTAAACAAGCGATTAAAAAAATTAATGTACAGCTTTACTTTAACCCTGGGTTAATGCTAAAGTTAAACTTAAACTGATATGACTACTTTACATCTGACGAAATCAGGTTTTAAGTCACCTGACCTATATAGCATTTTTTTAAAAGCTAGTCACATACTTTCCCATCATCGCAACCAAGGAAGACTGTGGAATTACGTTCCATACCAGTCGAAGCCGACACGGCGCTATAACTATATAATGTACTGGGTAAAAGTCATCTTCATTGAAAACAGTCACAAATATACCACAATAACAACAGCCACGAAAAGACACGTGAGTAAGCTTAAACTACGATTCGACATTAAAATGCCAAGTCTGCCAATTATACCTTTATCTTTAATTGTATATTTGATATTCGCAATGGATAATCTTACCTGAATGAACCAAAATCGGTGTATTGAAATAATAACCCAGGAATTACGCCATAACCATTCTTGCAAGTTTTACGAAGACAGTTATTCATTCTTCCCTAGAAGATTTTAACACAAATAAAGGATAAGCATTTGGTTTATTTTAGATACGTATATATAAATATATATTTTGACGGTCATATATATGATGTAATTTGAATTAGAAAATCACCCATCCTAAACTATTGTGAGTGTGAGGTCCAAATATGGAACATTTGAAATTAGTCGTAGTGATAGAACCGCTTTGGACATTCTTGACATATTTGATATCCCCAATTCCAGGAGTGCTTGGAGAACAACCAGTTGATATGTCGTTTGAAAAAATATCCCCAAGTTGACGCTTTTTGTTTAAGCGATAAAACCTACAGTAATAGCAATGTCGTCAATAAGAAATACCGCAGGGTTTGTATATGACTTTAGCAATCTTCATTTAAGCATGGCCTGTGCTCATTTATGTACAATCGATTTACCAATGTGCCTTGGTCCTTTCAAAAGTATTGTCCGAAGAAATCTGAACTCTGAAATCGAGTATTTGGATGTCACCAAGTTCGCTAGACCAATGAGGGGGTCCTTTAGGATCAACAGGGGTAGAGTTGGATGGTATTGTCCAGGTTACAGGACTGTCCGCCATTCCAACTAAGATAAACCCTCCACCGTCTGTATTTACATCACACCAAAGCTGCAATTGAGAATAAAGCTATAAATCGTAAATATATATTGATTGAGAGATCCAGGCAAGTAGTAAAAGCGACGATGAAGGGGCAAAGAGTTAGAGTGAGGACCTGGAACAGACTATAGACGGAGATAAATAGTGAAAAAGAGTGATGAAATGAATCTGACCAGGTGGAGGGTTTTATTCAAGGTCAATAAAGAATATCAAATTACTGTAGAGGTGATGGAAGTAAAATTGATGACTAGATGGCATGTTTAAAACTGGGGGTTAGTATAGTCAAATGGGGGGACAAATCGTACGACCTTCTCAAGAGAGACATAAAATGGGTTAATAAAATAAAGAGGTCTAATTGCCTGAAAGATGCGTGCTTCCAATGTTATCCTGGGATATTTCATACCTTATGCTTAGTTTTGTTGTCAAAGGAAATCCAATAAAATCCATCCTTAGCTCCAGGCAAATGATCAACAATTTCAGGACAATCTTTGGCTGGGTTGAACTCCTCTCCCAATGTTGAGGAACCTAAACATGTTTGCAGATTAAAATTCTTGATTTTTTCGGTGCCTGTAATAAACTGTCATCCCCAGTAGTTCTGTAAAAGTAGTTTTTTTATTAATCCCGCTTAACCTTACAGAACAGCTCCAATTTGTTTATTGCTGGCTATCTACAATCGGACTATCAATTTACTTCGAAGGGAAACTTGAACCAAACCTAGTTGTCCTAACTAGATATCCGTAGTATGAAATAGTAATTAGTACCACACAATATTTTTAGAGACAAATTATTCACATATATATTATTAATGTATAAGGTATAGTTCCTTACCATCAGTGTATTGCCAGTCTAGGACACCGTCTTTTTCTCCTGCGCAAATCAACATTTTAATTTGCCCAGCAACGTTTTTATGACTGATTCGTTTGCCAGGGTAGCATTTGCTGAAATTCTGAAATAACATTATTCTAGTGAATATTTGATTTCTTAACAGAAAGAGGATTATTATTTACAATTATTTGTGGTACAAATCATGAAGTTTGGATGTGCTTTAATAAGTTTTTATGTTTATATATATATATATATATATATATATATATATATATATATATATATATATATATATATATATATATATATATATATATATATATATAGTGTAATTTGGCTCTTCCAATCCAAACGATTTTAAGGTCAATCTATAGAACATTATAATCGAAAAGAAATTTCTTTACCTGGTAACTTTCTGGAAAAGCTGAAGTCACCATAATCAAAGAAGCAGAAAGAATCAGTATTTTCCACAAAGCGTCTGAAACCATATCTCCCTCGTCGTATTCTTTCCGTAGATCTAATGATACAGCAAACCTAGTCCTTCGTCTTTAGATGCCTCTGCTTTAGGCTAACATCGACCTGATAAAAATCGTCTTGAAGTAAAATGTTTTCAAACCTTTCAGCGAGGTCAGCTTCGTGTTCCTACACTTTTCATGCGATCACTTAATGCCGGATTTGTTGAAAAACAATTTTAAAAATATGTTCTCTTGGGCCGGTTGTATCAAGCCCGTTTAGCTTTAACGGTGGATAAGTCACAATTAAATAACACTCTTACAACTCTCTTGAATGAGTCAACTTGAATATTATGCACTGAATAGTTGTAGACAGTATCTTTGTATAAGGTTAAAAACATTTAGTTCGCTTATTGAATAAAATTATAGACTTGCTTTCTATTTTTATTACTTAACCACCGTTCAAGCTAAACGGGCTTGATACAACCTGCCCTGGTATCTAATCTATATTAATTGAGGCATTCGTCTTGCCTACTGTTTAGAAATTTAGACTAAATAATGTAGTAACAATTATGTTTGCGTGGTTATACTTATAGTTTATTAAACTGATGTTTTGAAACAATTTGCGCATGCATAAACATTAACAAGCACAATAGTAAACAATATCGTCGCTATGTTCGTAATGTTTTGCACTGTCTGTTTTAGTCTATAACGATTAATAGAGTATGAAGTTTCGGGAACTACAATAACAGTATACTTGTATCTCGCGTCCCTCGATAATTGTGGTTCACAATAGAATTAAAGAGTTCGGGTTCACTCAAAAATTCCACGAATATCGAATGTCGTTCTGTGGAAATCATTATAACAGTGGTCGTCTTGTAGTGCGTGTTTAGCGCTAATGTGTAAACAGTGGGTGATAAGTCAATAATAACGTTTTAAAAACAATATCATAGAGATGTCTGTAAGATATTCACACCTAAGCTTTAATATTTAGTCCTTTTTTTGGCTATTTGGGATCATACTGTCTTTACTGTGTATAACACGTCATCGACAGTTGATGGCTGAATCTGTGTAATTTCTGCGCGTATATTAATAAGGATAAACACAATTCTAAGGAGCACTTGTACGAATATGATACTCTATTTTATGAAGTAGTAAATTGCCTGCGAGTGACGCTACTATCAGAGATAACCGGTTTTGCCGTTGTTTGAGTTCAAATGTTTTGAAAGGCGACATCAGAGGACCGCAACATTGCAACAGAACACATACGCCTGTATTCAAAAGCTTACTCACACTCATTTAGTGTGACATAGAAATTTTGTTATTACTGATGAATGAGAAAATTCTTTCTTAATTATTGGAAACATTCAAGGTGAAACATTGAAAATCAAGCTCCTGTTTGAGTGGAAATACCTCTACGGAAACGCTATGAGAAGATTAGCTTCGCTTTTAGAATACAGGCGATAGTTTTTCACAGCTAACGAGATCAAATTCAGCAAACAGTGTGACTCACTATACCTAGGCCTGTGGTATCTATATTACATAACTGACCTGCTTTTGGTAGAAATTTCCGTAGATTACCGCCGTTGATATTCCTCCGCTATAGCTGTGCGACTGACTTATGTAATTGATACATGCATCCCTTATAGAATTAAAGACTCGTGATAAATTGTTATGACGTAATCGAACAACTAGAAAGTATTGTCCCTGTTAATCTCACAAGTAAAAAACCAAAGGATAATTGTGTTTAAAGGAACTTTTCTGTCTAATCTAATCATAAGAATGATTTTTTTCTGAATTTGGAGACCGGCTTAGTCATCATCACCTACATCTACTCCAAACTCGCTGGTGTCGCTAAGCCTAAGGCAGAATTTTTCGCGTGGAGAGGAATTTTTTCGTTGTTTTTGTCACATTATCTCTGCATGAAACGCGCAGACAATGATTTAAACATCACAGTGATTAAGTTTTACAACAGTCGAACTTAGATGAATGAAGGCAATTGCGAAGGCACAGCAGTCACACGCGGCTTAGCGTTCCATCTCTTAACCCCAACAACGTAATTTTTCCAGTGTATGATAACCACGCTCATCTACACCGTCACGTATACCTGTATCGCCAAATCTCAGTTGAGTAACAGGAAGCGTGTTCTTGTCTGTCAGATATCCACTGTCTTCACGCCATGTTGCATCATTCGTGTCACAATTACATTTTTTTCCACCTGCACAGCTGTTGTTCATTCCACAGGCACATTTTCCACTGTCGACTGCCGCTCCACCCCAGTAATTCATCTTTGAACCTTGACGTGATACCCACCATGCATAATATGCCTTTGTGGAGCTGTACCACATAAGGCTATGATAACATTCGTATTTTATACACTGTTCACAATTTGCGGACTGCGTCGTAATGGCAACAATCTGCTCCATGGAAATTTCATATTTTACGGTTTTGATGTAAGAACCTGCAGGATTATATCCGTCCACAAATGTTCTTGCTTCACTGTCATGTCCAATCTCTGTCACACCAACACCATTCTTTGAAGTCATGTCACAAAATACTGAAACTAAAACGCCTTGAATGGGACTTACCAAATACGTTCCACTATCGGCTGTAGGCCTCGTTTGTCGTAATATTGAACAAGACTGAAAAGCTTGTAAACCTGTGGAACGTACGTAAGACACTTTTTTACTGGTGATTCATATCGAGTTAGATATTATTGCAAATTTTTGGAAATATTAAAGGATTAAATGTTTTTGTGCTATATTTAAGAAATAGAAAACATTTTCCGTGTTTCAGTACAGTTATAGAAACACGCGTGGGAGTTTGGGAGAACGAGAAATAATCAGTCGGAAAACGAGCCCACGTTATTTCGTTTTCCACGTTATTTCAAGTTCTCCCAAACTCCCATCGCTCATAGACAACGAAGGCAAGTAGTGGTATACACTTTGTACCTAGATATATTAATTTCGAGAAAATAATTGATACACCGCAATTACACCGAAAAATAACTTAATCAATTCAATTTTATACGGTCGCGCGAGCGAATTTTTTCCAAACGTTCACCATCACGAATAGACAATGTTGAGTCGCCAATCAGAATGTAGGATTTGTAATAGACAATTGTCGGGTGTATACTAAACTGTATAGAAACACAGTAAAAAAGTTATATTGTATTTATACGCTCCAGGGGGTTTGTCGCGACTTAAAATCATCTGCACATAATGCTGACGACACGTCTGACAAATTTTCGCTGACAATGATTAAAAAAAATCACGGCCTATCGAAATAATCGTCATTGACTGGGTTGGTGGTTGCACATCTCTGAAAATCGTGAGACAAAATCATGCACCCATGAAGCGCAAATTTCAAGTGAACTAAAAATGCTTGTGATATACGCACTTGGAGAGCAAAACTCGCGCAATTTATTTGAAATTTAGAGGAATTATCTCTTTTCTATGCAATGGACCCGGTTTACTGGCCTGAAAGCTGTGAATTTATTAGAATTTTAATAATATAACCATAAACCCCCGACAGCCACCATTGTTGAACATTGTGGTTCAAATATTGATTGATTATTAAAGCATACTGTAATTGCTAATTGGCTATAACTAAAAAATTGCTTTTTCGCGGTAGTTCCTACTTGTGTTGACATTAACTACGCTTAACAAGACGAAATATTTATATTTATTTGTAGAATAAGATAAAGGGCAAAGACTGGGGCTGGCGCACCATGTCCTCCGCCCCTTGTTCCTCCTCCCCCCCCCCCCCCCTTGCATGCACCCGTGACATACACGTGAGAGTTTAAGGTGGCTCGGGACAGTTTTCAAGAATTCCATTGTTCATCACTTTGACACGTTGAAACAACGCATTTTTGTGATTTATTCCAGAGATATTCGGGGTTTTATATATTTTGATGTCTCTACTTTGGAATCGTATTAGTTTTAGGAACAAATCGTCCGTTGCTATGGCAACATACGTGTACAAAATTCACTCCAAAATAACCAATTGCCTTGGATAGTTGGAAAAAAAGCACGGTGACCCCCAATTTTTTTTCATGCATCATTTTACTTGGAAGAAAAACTAACAATTGGCAAAATATGAAAAAATTCTATAATGCCACATTTTTGAAAAATGCAAAAATGACATTTTTTTCGATAATTCTTTTTGGCCATTATAGAATTTTTTTATATTTTGCTAATTGTTAGTTTCTCTTCCAAGTAAAATAATGGACGAAAAAAAATTGGGGGTCACCGTGCTTCTTTTCCAAATATCGGAGGCAATTGGTCATTTTCGAGTGAATTTTGTACACGTATGTCGCCATGGCAACGGACGGTCTGTTAGTAAAACTAATATGATTCAAAAGTAGAAACATCAAAATATATAAAAACCCCAATATCTCTGGAATAGATCATAAAAATGCGTTGTTTGAACGTGTCAAAGTGTTGAACAATGGAATTTTTGAAAACTGTATCGAGCCACCTTAAATCCATTTTGATGTTACTGCAAAAATTAATGGATAAATAAATATTCCCTATAAGTTTTAGTAAAATTAGTAAAATTAGAATAATTTATGGTGTATGGCGTATGAAATTTAACCCGATATATATATAACTCTGTTTGTAATCTAGAATAAGAATTGCTATTAACACGCAATTATTTATATACGTGACAGTCTAAGAACCGTTGAACTTTAAATTACAAAGCTAACGCAATCATGCAGATTTATTTATTACTTGAAAATGATGCAAGACATAGCATCGAAACGTCGTAAAATAAAACTTATATCGGTTTTATTTATGTCCAAAAAAAAATTTAAACCGTAACTGAAAAGCATCCTTTGAAAAGAAATCATTGCAAACTGCATGAAAGAAATACTAAATTCCTTAAATAGATATATAAAATTCTAAGGTACCTTTTTCTAACTTTTTTATCAAGTTTCCCTGAGTTTCAATTGTTTTTTCAAGAGTTCGGATAATTCGTTCTTGATTTTGATTTTTCGTTTGAAGGATTCGGATGGTGCTTTCATGCTTTTGGATTGCACTTTGTTGATTGTTGTTTGTTGTTTGAAGATTTTGGATTGCACTTTGTTGATTGTTGTTCCTGGTTTCTTGATTTCTAACTTCCTGCTGTAATTGTCGAATCTTGAAAGAAATAAAAATTTCCATTTCATGACACACTGCAGACAATATTATTTTAATCCTAATAATTCTCAGATGAGAAATCCAGTAAAACAAACCTCATCTTCATAAGCCAAAGATTGCCACTCTGATCCATTATTGACATAAAGTTGTTGATTATCTTCACGATACGAGAGAAGACCAGGAACATTTGGGATCTTCTCTAAACTATCTTCGTCAGCTACTGTCAATGTCTGCAAGAAAAGTCACCAAGAATACGCGTTCATTATTGAAGTTTAAATTTTGAATTCTCTTATTGGTTTCCCAGCTTCACTTCTCTACACGTTCTCCCTGCCTCGTACCCTTACATGAAGTATTCTTATTAATTGGTTATGCCAAAATGGTTCATACAAGCTACATTTATTGCAGTTCGTCCTTCTTCGCCGCTGGTTTTTTCACTGTCACTTTTTTTTGCTTTATTTTCAATCCTACCTGTGCTGCCTGGTCTTAGTTGCGTATCTTGCTCTTAGAGTTTGTTGAAACAAAATTATTGTATATACTTACACCTTCGTTAAGAAATCTCTTAAATTGTGCTGAACAACCCTTAAATAGAACGTAAGAATTACATTTCATTTTTCTCATCGTTTTACTGTTGTTGTCACCAAACCCTCACCTTGTGTGCTGTACCAGTTCTCGGATCAATAAAATATTTCTCAAATGTGTCAACGGAGTTCTTCATTTTGAACTCCATACATTTTTCCAAAGTCTTTCGGCATTCTGTTTTCCCCAAAACCAAACAAAAACATTCTTCATTACTGTTCCGCCATTAATTGCAGTACATCCAGGACCACAGTAGTTTTGTCTTCCACCTTTAGGACCAAAACATCCGCAACACTACAAAACGTACAGGAAAGTTTGTTATAATAACATATATAAATTGTTTTCAGTCTCCTGGCCTATATAGCTTTACTGGAGAGTTAGCTGCATACTTTCCCATTATCGCATCCAAGAAAGGCTGTGGAATTACGTCCCATGCCAGTTGAAGTCGACACAGCGCTGTAACTATAAACAAACTATGCTGTTACCACAATATAGCTATACACATTAAGTAATACTTGAATATTCTTGTGATTCGACGTTTACTAAACTTTAACATTTGGAGTGCATCTCACCTGAATGAACCAAATTCGGTATATTCAAACAAAAACCCGGGAATCACACCATAACCATTCTCGCAAGTATTACGAAGACAATTGTTCATTCTTCCCTGTAAAATAGTTTAAGCACTGATGTATATTTATATGTACCGGGTGTCTCAAAAAGTAGCGATGCTTGATTTGTTTAACGGTTAAAACTTTAACAATAACATTTAACAATGAAAAACTGCTATAAATGGAACAATAAATTCATGCAAGGTCAAGCACCGTGTGTAAGAAAATATTATGAGAAATTGACATTCACCCATCCTAAGTTACTGTGAGTGTGAGGTCCAAATATGGAACATTTAAAATTAGTCGTAATGATAGAACCACTTTGGACGTCCTTGATGTATTTGATATCCCCAATTCCAGGATTATTCATGGAACAACCCGTTGATACGTCATTTATGAGAATATTCCCAAGTTGACGCTTCTGGTTTAAGCGATAAAACCTACAGTAATAGAGTTAATCAGTAAACAAATACTCTGCAGGGTTTGGAATATGACTACCAATAAACTTAAGGCATAAGAAGCGGTCATTTATGTACAATTTACATTTTTACCAATGTGCTTTGGTCCCTTCAAAAGTATTGTCCGAAGAAATCTGAACTCTGAAATCGAGTATTTGGATGTCACCAATTTCGCTAGACCAATGAGGGGGTCCTTTAGGATCAACAGGGGTAGAGTTGGATGGTATTGTCCACGTTACAGGACTGTCCGTCATTCCAACTAAGGTAAACCCTCCACCGTCTGTATTTACATCACACCAAAGCTGCAACCGAGAATGTTAGTATTCTGTATCATAAATACAGTCGTTATGATGGTGCTTGGTTTTTCCTTAGGTTGATACATTATGCAATTTAAGCGTAAAGCGAGTGGAAGGGATCTTGGCAGTGAAATAGTCAGGTAGAGACGGCGGTTTATATCAGGGAAAGGTGTATACCGAAATACATAGCTTGTTGATAGACTGAGAGGCAAAATGAAAACAGGGGCTTTAAAAGAGAGAGGGGTTTGATAGACGTAATTTAGCATGGGTTATGTTGTACCAAACCTTATGCTTAGTTTTGTTGTCGAAGGAAATCCAATAAAATCCATCCTTAGCTTCAGGTAAATGATCAACAATTTCAGGACAATCTTTGGCTGGGTTGAACTCCTCGCCCAATGTTGAGGAACCTATCAGCATGTTTTTAATGAAATTTTTGGAATTTTCAAGAACACGTAAAAACTTTTTTCTCTAAGGTCTTTGTAAACTGTTCAAGTTATTCTCTCTTGCGCAAGTTAGAACTTGGCTTGAGAAACTGGAAAGTCTAATCCTATAGAAGTTACTAACCATCAGTATATTGCCAGTCTAGGACACCGTCTTTTTCTCCAGCGCAAATCAACATCTTAATTTGCCCAGCAATGTTTTTGTGACTGATTCGTTTTCCAGGGTAACATTTGCTGAAATTCTGAAATAACATTATTCTTGTGGATATATTCTTGCCCTTCCCATCCTTCTCAATCCCTTCTCATCCATATATCTAGTATAATGACCCTTCTCATCCCAGAGATTTTATGGTTAATCTATAGAACATTAACTTTACCTGGTAACTTTCTGGCAAAGCTGAAGTCATCATAATCAAACAAGAGGAAACAATCAGTATTTTCCACAGTACGCTTGAAACCATTTTGCCTTTATTGGATTCCTTTCCCGGATCTAACGATGAAGCAAACCTAGTTCTACTATTTTGAAGGTCAAGGCAACTGCAGTTTATGGTAACAAATCTTCTATAAACTTTTCATAAAACCACCTGATGACTTTGCAGAGAAACGTATTATCAATTGTTTAAAATCCAGTATCTAATCCATATTGATTAGGACAAACATTCAGAGTACTGAAATCTAAATAATGTAAAAACACGATCTTGGCTTGATTATAATATTTGCATTTGTGTTTTGGAAGAAATTGTGCGCGAATAACCGTTAACCAGATGGTCTGCCCCGACGAAAACTGTCTGTATGTAACCGACTGTGTAGTAAACAATCTCGTCGAAATATTATACAGCGTCTGTGGTTGTTTATTATGAGATACTTAAGAAATTTAAGAAATTTCCGGATGTCTGTACTATATATAGTGAACGTATCTCGCGTGTCTCGAAAATTATGGTTCACAACGTGCATGGTATAGGAAGAGATTGGCCGTCTTGGTCAACTAGGATTGAGAGTTTGTAAAACTATTTGTCTAAAATCACACAAGATAATGTAGTAGTCTCCCTGTGAAAAGAATTTGCGTTATTCGTCTTGAAAGGTTCACCCCACATGAATATCGTATGTCGTTTTATGGAAAACATTATGACAGTGGTCTGCATGTAGGGCATGTTTATATCGCAATAGTGTAAACATTGTGAACAAACAATGATAATATTTTGAAACATTATCGTAGAGATTTCTGTGGGATATTTACTACAAATCTTTAATACTTTAGTTCTTTTATTTCAATGAATATATGGGATAATACTTCGTATAACACATCCGTCAACAATTGATATTGCTTAGGTTGAATTTCTTTGTGCATATATGATCAGAAACTCACTTCTGTAAGGAGCACTTGTTCACAAGTGATATTCTATTCTTTAATGTAGTTAATCCCCTCCCGACCGTGTGCATGCACGTCTATGATGCAGAGATAACCTGCTTTGTCGCTGTTTGATACAACAGTCTTCCCTACACAGGATTAGGACATGTAATACAGTTCATTGAATACTTTAGGAGAGGAACACAACATTACAATAAAACACGTAGTTTATTCAGCTTATACCTAATGAGATCTCAGATCGTAGTCACCCAGCAAATATACCTGTGATATCTATGTTACATAACTGACCTGTTTTTCGAAGTAAATTTCCACAGATGGCTAATGTTGATATCGCCACTCTATAGCTGTGTGACTGACCTGTGTAATTGATACACCTCTTATTACATGACCGCTAGTGAAGAAATGAATGCTGAAGGTTTTTGGTAAAACGTTATGACGTAGTCGAAATTGAAAGTCTTGTCCCGGTCAGAGCATCCAACACACTAAATGTGGTCTTTTTGAATTATTTTTGAGATAATAAGTTTATAAGCTTTACGTTTGAGGGCAACGAGAAACAACAGAGTCGATTTTTTGTTGCAAAATTATGACTCAATTTCTTCACTTTTAGAAAATTGAGCCATAATTTTGCAAGAAAGATCGACTCTGCTATTTGTCGTTGCCCTCAAACGTGAAGCTTATAAATTTAAAAATCTAATATGTTTTTATTCCTTTCCCGAAATACTATAATGATTACGGAAGATCATTTAGTTTAATTTTCATTTTTCTGCAGCCAGTTCTATAAAACTCTTGACTACATTTTGTGTGGTTGAATCTTAGTTCACTCAGAAATGCACGGTTTTGACTAGTTCTTTTATTAACTGTAGTTTAACAGTTTATTAATATGTCCCAGTACACATAGCTATCTTATAATGTTCCCAAATTATGAAATTTAAATTATAGCATCAGTAAAACTTATACAGTCGGGTGGTAGATCTGCCTGACTGACATCCTGCTACACACACAACATAAACAAACCTATTTTGAAAGTAAAAGAAAACCAGAAATGTGGGTTGATATTTTTTACTTTGTCCACAGCAATGAGTCTCGAAATACCCTGGTTTTAATTAAGGATACGAGAATAGAAAAACAAGGTGATTTTGATCAATTTAAGGTTGAGACTATGCGAAGATAAATCAACGCTCTCTGCTGAGATTAATTGAGTGTAAAATGCAATTAAAAAAGCGATATGTCGTTTAGGCTGAAACGATGCAGGCTATTTTCAAATTATGATTTCTTTATGTTGATAGATATTTCAATTCGTTAACAATTGCATCGTAAAATCTGCATGATCATAGTTTTTCGTATTGTGCCATTTTTATCTTGGCTGGTTCAAATACAAACTATATTCGACCTAGTTCACACGCTGAACTTTTCACGAGCAAAAACCAATATTAAATCTAAACTCTTTGTGTTTGAGAACATTTGTCTCAAAGGTTTAAAAGGGGCTATCTCGTCTGCTAACTCCATTTAGATTACTCGGACATGGTTTCGTACTTCAAAAGTAAAATACGAGTCAGGGGTGCAGAATGTAAGTGCCCTGAATGGTTCCAAAAAAAGATAAAATACGCATTATTTCAAATTGATTATTAAAATTAGACTTTAGCAGCCTGAAGTTGACGAAAAATTAAAAATAATAAAATCTTAACAGCCATGGTGAAGCTTTTAAATTTTTTGTTGATCACAAAGATCATATTCATCACATCAGGTTTGATGTTCCATCTCTTAACCCCAGCAACGTAATTTTCCCAATGTATGATAACCACGCTCTTTTTCTCCATTGCCTAACACGCTGTCAGTATCTCCAAATCTCAGTTCAGTAACAGGCAGCGTATTCTTGTCTGTCAGGTATCCACTGTCTTCACGCCACGCCCAATCGTTCTCGTCACAATTACATTTGTGTCCACCTGCACAGCTGTTGGTCATTCCACAGGCACACTTTCCACTGTCGACTGCCGCTCCACCCCAGTAATTCATCTTTGAACCTTGACGTGATACCCACCAACCAAAATATTCACCTGTAGAACTAAACCTAAAAACGCTGTCGTAACATTCATATTTTATAAACTGCTCACAATTCTTGGACTGCTTCATAATGGCAACAATCTGTTCCATGGAAACTCCATATTTAATCTTTCTCTTGTACGACCCCGCGGGATCATATCCAGTCACAAATGTTCTTGATTCACTGTCATGTCCAATCTCTGTCACACCAACACCATTCTTTGAAGTCATGTCACAAAATACTGAAACCACGACTCCTTGAATGGGATTCACCAAATACATTCCACTATCAGCTGTAGGCCTCGTTTGTCGTCGTAATACTGAACAAGAAGGATAAATTTGTAAATCTGTGGGAAGAAAGATACCATGTTACTGAAGTTTCATGTTGATTTGAAGCGATTTGATTGTTAGTGTCAAGTTTATCAATATTCAGTGCATGTTCTTTTAGGTCTAGTAATTCGTTTAGTATTTAGGTTTATATAACCTATAAAATAGGTTTTTGTGCCAGTGTAAGAGTACGAAAAACGCATTAGACTGCAGCGACTGAGGTGACTTGTGCATCATATCTTGAAATAATCAACAACGTAAGACAAAATTTGCTGACAGTACCACAATGACAACTGACCAGATAACGCGGGTTTCTCGTTTTATGTTTTCAATAATATGGAACTCATTGAATTGATCAAAAATTGATAGTATAGCTATACATTTAGTATTTTCAAAATTTCGGCAATAACATTATTAAGTGAAGTCATATTACAGAATGCAAGAGCTGACAATTTTTACGTGGGATTTACATAAAATTTCCACCGTCGTCTGTAGGAACCGTTGTTCGTAAGGTTGAATAAATTCGGGTAAATATTAGGTAACTTTAAAATATCTGTGAAGCGTGCAACGCTTTGTTGCTGTATAGCTTAAAGTGCGAGTCAAGTCCATACAGGGGCGCCGGAAGGCAGCGGGGGCAGAGTTTTAGAAAAGGGCACGTTCATTTTACCTTAGCAACCACACGAAGAGGAAACTCAAATTTACAAGTACATGCGAACTTGCAAATCCACGGGAGAACGCATTTTCAATAATATTACCGGTTAGTTTTTATGCGAAAAGTAGGCATCATGGTTAAATGTTGAATTTATGATACTTTTATTTATGATACCCCGCTGTCTCCGTGGTTCCGGCGCCTCTGAGTCCATATGTAAACGAACCTTTAAAATGGGGGCGTCATGTCTTGATATTTAACATTATTTAGGTTCGCTACCCTTTCAAATGAACTTGAGTTTATAATTTGTTCAGAAAATTTAAAACATGCAAACGCATTCTCCACTCAGATCAAAGTTGTTAAATTTTTAAAGAAAACCCGTCTTTAACAAGAAAGTATGTGTCGTTGATTAGTTAATACAATGACAATAAATGCATGAATACGTTTTTGGATTACCTTTCTCTAGCCTCTTTATCAAGTCCCTTGAGTTTGGAGTTGTGTTTCCAGACTTTTAACTTCCTGCTGTAATTGTCGAACCTGGAGGAATAAAATGAATACTGAACAATTCCATATTTATAACAATTCTGCTTAATATTTAACAAGATACAATAAACGAACTTGATTACCTCTCCTTCATTATCTAATGGTTGCCACTTTGATCCATTATTAACATAAAGTTGTTGATTATCTTCACGATATGAGAGAAGACCAGGAACATTTGGGATCTTTTTAAACCCTTTTTTGTCAGCTACAGTCAATGTCTACATGAAATGTTATAGAGGACTCATGTTGATCATTAAAGTTTCGGGTTTACTCCTGGCTGTACTCATCTCAGTGGCGTAGCCAGGATAGAAAATTTGGGGGGGCGACCAGTGAGTGAGTTTGTTACCACAAACTATCTGGAGGGGTCCGGGGGCATTCTCCCCCGGGAAAATTTGATATTTCTAAGGCTTGGAAACGCCATTTCCCGCATTCTGATACGAGCTTTTAAAAGTAATCGTTGGGTTACAAATCACAAAATTCTGTCATTATTGCATTAGAACAACGAACAATACACGTGAAAATCTCTTTAGACTTACTGATTACTCGTTGCTTACCTAACTTGATCCCCCCTCCTCATACTCCGCTGGATTTAGACATTTCATGAGAACGGTTTTAAAGACCATTGGGGGGGGGGCGACCACCCCCCCTTGCCCCCCCCTCCTTGGCTACGCCCCTGACTCATCTCTACATGTTCCTCCCACCATTCCTCTCAATTTACATGAAGTATAGTTGTAAATGTTATGAGCCCTCAATCTGCTGTTTCTTCATTTTGCTCCTTAAAGTTACCTGTGCTAGTCTCTCTTGCTGTATCAAGTGTCTATATATATACTTACACCCTCGTTGAGAAATGTCTTGAATTGCTCTGAACAGGAACCCTTAACAAATTAACCCAGAAGTTAAAATTATTTTTTTCATTGTTGGGGTGTTGCTTCAAAACCCTCACCTTATGTGCATTACCAGTTCTCGGATCAATAAAATATTTCTCAGATACGCCTGTTAAGTTCTTCATGGTAAACTCCATACATCTTTTCCAGAGTCTTTCTGGCATTCTGTTTCTCACCCAAAACCAAACAAAAACATTTTTCATCACTGTTCCTCCATTGATTGAAGTACATCCAGGACCACAGTAGTTTTGTCTTCCACCTTTAGGACCAAAACATCCGCAGCACTTTAAAAAACACGTGAAAGGTAATTTAGACCAAGATGTAAAGTTATAACACATTGTTAATTTTTGTCTTTTAATTTGTTGTTTTTGATCATATGACACTGAAAAAATTTTGACACGTGTGCACAGGCTTTCAGTCATCTGACTATTATAGCGTTACTGGAGTGCTTTCGTCTTTTAGTATTTCAAATAATCTCTTTACTCACTTTTCCGCCATCGCATCCAAGGAAGGCTGTGGAATTACGTCCCATACCAGTCGAAGCCGACACGGCGCTGTAACTATATAATTACTTTTCTGTAAACTATATATCTGGGAACTATTACCGAATCCAGGGCCAGCATAGACAAGCCTTGTCAAATATACAAAGTTCTTATTGCAGTTCCACGTTATATGTGACATTATGATATACTTTTAATAACTTGGTATTTTATCTTAGCCTTACATTAAAACCTTACCTAAAAGATCCATATTGAGTATATTGAAATGAAAAAGGACCAGGAATTACACCATATCCTTTCTTGCAAGTGTTACGAAGACAATAATTCATTCTTGCCTTAACGATATTAATGCAGACATTAGTTTCTCTTCTTACATTCATTTAGTAAGACCGGAGGAAAATTTCTTCGCAATATATTTCTCCGTATCGGTTCCATGTAAAATTTTTCTATACAGTAGAATGATATTTACCCATCCCAAACTATTGTGAGTGTGAGGTCCAAATATGGAACATTTAAAATTATTCGTAATGATTGAACCGCTTTGGACATCCTTGACATATTTGATATCCCCAATTCCAGGAGTGCTTGTAGAACAACCAGTTGATATGTCGTTTGAAAAAATATCCCCAAGTTGACGCTTTTGGTTCAAACGATAAAACCAATGTGCTTTGGTTTCTTTAAATGTATCATCAGAAGAAATTTGAACTCCAAAATCTAGTATTTGAATATCTCCAAGTTTACTTGACCAATGTGGTGGTCCTTTAGGATCAACAGGAGTAGAGTTGGATGGTACTGTCCAAGATACAGGACTGTCCTTCATTCCAACCAACATAAACCCCCCATCATCTGTATGTACATCACACCAAACCTTATAAGGTTAAAAACTAAGAAAATTATTTTCTATTTTATGTAACTTTGTGTCATGATGACTGGCACAATGCAGTTGTGTCACTTGACTCGAGAAGTGCCTTCGTCAACAATTTTTTTTTAAATTTGGCAGAAAGCAACAAAATATATAAAATGGCTGGACTAGACAAGCAATGGGCGAGAGATTGCCTCGCAGAGTATAATAACTGACTAAATAACTAAGGATAACTTTGAAACTGAGAAGGCTTTAAAAGATAGTTGAAGTAAGAAAATGGTTAGGTAACGAAGTGGAGCGGGTACATGCAGTGAAGATGAAGTGCATCAGAGAAGATGGTTAGTGCTAATAAATAATGTTTGTCGTATTTACCTTGTGTTTAGTTTCGTTGTCAAATGATATCCAGTAAAATCCATCTTTTGCTCCAGGCAAATGATCAACAATATCAGGACAATCTTTTGCTGGGTTGAATATTTCACCCAATGTTGAAGAACCTCAAAACATAAAAGTAGCTTAAAGAGATTTACTCCGAGAAGCGAGTGTCGGCGTAAAAGAATCTTCCTAATGATTGTGCTCTAAACCAATTCCCCCCACCTTTTTCAAATTTATCAATTCATATTACTATGAAGAATAAAACCTAAGTTCAACTGATTTGTTTTAAACTAGATAAATAAGTCAAAATCAGTCATAGGTTTGTCTTGTTAGTAATCAACCCATATTCCATCTTCATTTTCCCATCTTCGAAGCAAGTTATTCATGAATGAATTATTTTGAACTTTCGTATTTTAAAATCTTTATTAAGGATATCTCTTCTTTTTGGTTCATTGATCATAGATGTAGAGAATTTAAAACAGAAACCATATAATACATTTTTTACAAATATTTACGTCAAAATATTAATTCCTTACCATCAGTGTATTGCCATTCGGGGACGCCGTCTTTTAATCCGGCGCAAATCAATATCTTTACTTGACCTGCTTGGTTTTTGTGACTGATTTGTTTACCTGGATTGCAATTCTTAAAATTCTGGAATAAAAGAAGTAAAAGTGCATGGCTTTCCGATAAATGAGTCAATATGTTAGGTGCTGAACAATCTCTTGTGCAAATTCAAACTTTGCAAGTGGCTAAAATATAAAACAATTTTAAGGATTCCTCTCACCTCGCTTCCCTGCGAGAAACCAGTAGTTGTAACTCTTAAACAAACTGAAAAAATGAGGATTTTCCACAAGATTTCGGAAAGCATGATTCTTGTTCAGCATAAGTTCAGCCTTCCTTTCGCTGTGTCTTGACACGTAATAATAAAACGACCTGGGTTCTTTTAATTTAATTAAAATCAATAACAAAGGACTCAAGCAGACGAGCTTTTTCCTTCAGCAAAGAATTCACTAGTAATCGAGCTATAAATATTTCGTTTGAAGAATATGTCTGCGTTTGTTTAAAATTTGTTAGTTAAATCCGCCATCTTT